AGTAGTAGTAGTAGTAGTAGTAGTAGTAGTAGTAGTAGTAGTAGTAGTAGTAGTAGTAGTAGTATTGGAGGTGTGTGTGACTGACCTGTGTAGGGCGGCCTTGCTCTTGGCGGCGTAGTCGCAGGCGCTGCAGGCGAAGGGGCGCGCGTTGGAGTGGACGAGCTCGTGCGCGCGCAGCTCGGCCGCGCAGCGGAAGCGCATCACGCAGCCCGGCGCGCGGCACGCGAACGCCTTGCCCGCGTGCAGCTTCATGTGCTGCTGCAGCGTGCTCCTGCGGACAACGCACGCGTTCGCGCCCTCAGCACACTCGCACACTTTATAAGCCCGCTTTGCTCTGTTGAACTAAAAATTTTAAGAATAAACTTGGGATTGTTTTGGGGAAAATAATTACTTTAAAATTGCTTATATTTCACATAAACTCATGCACAAAATATTCATGTTTGCAAAATTGTTCATTATTTTTTAAGGTTAGTCTTTCACGAACAAACATCATTAAGAGAACACATCAATCTTCAATATCACAGTTGTAGGAAGACGCTGAAACAAGTTTGAATTTTCGCAATTTTTGAAAATTCAGAGATTTCAACAAAAATGAGATATGCGTCATTTTTATAAGGTTCTTTGCTCTATTAAAAAAATTAAAAATTTATAGCCATTTTTGGTAACATTTTGAAAATATTAAGGAATCATGCAAAATACTCCCAAAAATCAAAATATTTGTTTGAAATTCGCAGGACATCGATCTCCACGAAAACGATAGTGCTATATCAATTTGGATCAAATCTTTTAAATTGTTTAGTCTCTAACGTTGTATACGGACGGACAGACGGACGAACGGACAGATAGACGAAGGGACCGACAGACGAACGGACGGTGAGATGAACGGACAGCCAGACACGTTTCACTCAACCATTTTTTTCAGTATCTAGGACTCACAAAATGTGGATTCTGAGTACACAATCTGTTAGAAGTAACTTACCACACGCAGAAACAAGATACATCAATTTTGGAAATCAGGACTCCACAAAACCATTTTTTCAGTTTAAAAATCACCGTTTTGTCATTACATTATAGTACGTTCTGGAAACTACGTATGTAGTAGGCGAAAAAGTCCTAAATTAATATAATCATGTTCCTCATACAATTACCATATACTTCTTTTATAGTGCCGTTCTCAAGCGCAATGCAGTTCCCTAGCATCGATTGCCGGAGTTCTACACAGAATTTTGTTCAGATGCGATACGCAGAGAGCTGTCATTATTCGCATCTCAAATTCATTCATTCAGATTAATATGTATTTTTTGTCGTTTTTAACTGTACAAAGTAATTTCCTCTTCGGTGACTTATTGGTATGCGCACTGAATCAAGTTAACATTAACTCTCTTCTGTGCGTTTCGGAACAATAGAATTTGTCCACAGTTGACAGTGCCGTAACCAAAAGCAACTCAGAAACATTATAAAAACCATTGATTGCCGTATTTTGTAAAACACGTTGATATTTATATCCGAAATGATTCAGTCATATACTGTCGGGTAACAATATTTTGACTTCTTTCTGGACTGACGTCTCCGATTTGTGACGTATGCTGCATGAGCTGGCTGTTTCCGTATTTAATAGTACGGACAGCCTACCGCGACAATGTATATCGTAAAATGAAGTGATCATGTGGGATATCGTCATTTGGGGTGAATACCAGAATTAGAAAATTTTGAATGTGAGGATACAGGTATTGCAATGATTTAAAGGCCTTCGTTCTAGCCACATAGTATCAAGTAATTCAATTTATATGTGTAATAATTACCTATTAAATTAAAAAAAATATCGTTACTTCTGCAATCAATAAAGAAAGGGATTTATCCGAGTTTTATAAACATGGAAGGTGAACCTTTGACCCAAGAACAGCAGTATTTCGGAAAGAGGGTAGTTTATGAGGTTTTTGTTGCTGTGATGAAAGTAAAAAGAATGGGCGAATGGCACCAATGCCAATAACCATCCTACAGTGCGAGGAGTGCACGGACACGAGGTCCGACGTGCACAGCGCCCACAAGGGTGCGTGAAGGCTAACCGACATTCTACAGTGAAACAGCTCACCGGGCAAATAAACTACAGAGCACCCAGGCTCGTGTCTACCACAACAGTGCAACGCACCCTGCTGCATATGGAGATTCCAAGTACTCGGACGGTGCCTACACCAGTGTTAATGACGGTGCGTCGAAGGAAAAACACTTGAAAGCTCGACAGTTCGAAATTCAACTTCTCGTGATTGCTGACGGGTAGCCTTCCCCCGATGAGAAGCGTTTTATGTTTCATGAAACGAATGGAATCTGAAGGGGCTACGGGACATGTCTGAGAAAAAACTTTCTACATTCTTCCTGGAAAAAGAGAAGGCGATTGTGGCAAATTGGAGTTTTCATTTAATAACCTTATGTCACATCAATGCTGTAACTTAGCTGTAGAAACGTATGAAGGTGACTACAAACAGTTTATAGCTGTTTAGAATTCTTGGATCTGGAGTTGTTTTTGCCATCTGTTTTTCGTACATCTACTTTCACACAGTTTTTACTCGTACACATACGGAGGATGAAGATGCTTGGCGTACTTATAGCGCTCCCAGTGATAACATCAGAATGCTGTGTCTGCCGGTCAAGCAGATGTCCCCATAAAGGGGTTGAAGAACACCTTACATATATGAAGGAAGATCGGGTGAAAAACTCCCCCCACCCTTTACATCCGTGCACCGCGTCGCAGCCGCTGGCCGAGTCGGCGCTGACAGACGCGACGCGCGGGCCGTCGGATCGTCGCGCGACCGTCGATCACGCGCAGGTCGTCGCCCCGCGTCGCGGCGGCGCGTGTGGTCCTGACGCCGTGACATCAGCGCCCTCTTACGGCGGCGCACGCGCAAACAGGTTCTTGGAAACACGCGCCCGCCCGCCCGGCCACCCGCGGGAAAATTCGATCATAACTTAAGGGCCGCCGCCGCCGCAGTCCATGTCGAAGGCTAGCCGATGCGATTGACAACCCGTGTAGTTGTCTCGGCCGCCGACAGGAACGCTATGGGCGCGCGCCTGTGATAGCCTTCCTGAGTGCGGTACGGCAACGTGAACAAGATAGGCGGGGAAACATACGGTTTCTACTTTTCAGTTACATGCTTGCTCAGCCAACATTTACTCACTATTGGCTCAGAAAATAGTAATGTTAATAATAATTGTTGTTATTGTTACGTAATTATATATCTTTCCCTTATTTCGTGTAGTGCGAACTATTTGTTTCAAAATAACTTATTTTTAATCTTTGAAAATAATGGTCTGAGAAGGAAGATCAAATTGTTCAAAAAACATTTTTATATTTTAGAATACGAATCCAAATAATGAGAGGAAGAAGAAGAAGAAGAAGAAGAAGAAGAAGAAGAAAAATTGGAAATCTGCGAATACATATAACGAACAAAATAAACATTTCTCATTTTTAAATTATTCAATAATGCAATGATGCTGTTAAGTTTTCTTTAAATAATATATCTTCAGATCCCAAAACACGTAGTGAACGTTTAGTAAAATGTTATGATTCGGGAAATGGTGATTTTCAAACAGTTTTTTCGTCAAAAATTGATAAGAAAATCGAGATGTAGATTTGGTAGTTTCGACAAAATAATTCATTTGATCTATCGGTATTTAGTTTTAATTGACACAAAAATATGTAAAGCTATTCTCTACTATTACATGAATTAAAAAGGTCGTCCAATAAAATATTGGTTTATCTGTTTACATAAACATTGAACAAATCTTCAATACAAACGCTGCTTTTGTTGTACAAGCAAAGCGCCTTGCGACAAACAGTGACATCAGCCCACATATAGGATTCTGAAGAATGTTCCCATGACGTGTTCCACACGTTAAAAGAAATAATGAGTGAATTTTGATGCGGCTGCATAGCAAACATTGTTTATGCAGTGGCTGTCCGTTTCACGAGAATGGCCAGCGGTTTCTTTCACGGCGAAGTAATGTCCCCAGACTCCGAGGAGACCTAATCGACTGCGTAACGCATCACATTAACACCAGCTTCTCCCGGTCATTCCGCGCCTTTCGGGGGACGCGCCGCTCGTAACAGCCGACTGCTGGCCGGCGCAGCGGCGCGGCGGACCGCTTCCACGCGCAGTGGTCCTGCGAGAAGACTTGTAGGTCACAAAATGGCAACTTGTTTGTCAGCATTATTGTTTCATTCTTACTTCTATCTGGTTCCAATCCGCCGGTTATAACTATCCAGCATTGACACATTTGACAGTATTGACATTGTTTATGGTATTAAAATACCATGCAACCTCACATGCTCGTCCCGTCCTCAATAACTTGTCAGCTAGGTCGAATCCACTGTTGTCTGGAGGTATATTGTAGCGACCGGCTGCTCTGATCGGTACTTTTTTGTGTGGTGTCTTCAACCAACGCCAGGTGAATGCCGGAGTACTCTACGGACCACAGACCCCACGTGATCATTTCTTCTTCTACCTTGTCTTTTCCTCGCTCCCTAGTTACACACACACACACACACTCGCATGCACTACACTACCACGCTTGTCGGGAGATGATTCGGGAATTTAGAGCTTGCCCCGGCTGGTGCTGTGCTCAGATACAGGGAGATTCTTGGTTGGGAAAAATCCTCGCACCTATGCCGGCGGCGGATCTCCCCAGTCTGTGAGGAAAGATTACGTCATCTCCCGCGAGAAAAAAACTTATGTGCAGGACACTAATGCGACTTATAACCTTAGCAGTTGAGGCGCCAGGAATCGCTAATCAATCAATCAATCAATCAATCAATCGTTCCGTCTTAATAGCTTCGCTCTCTCGCTTTCTCACATCACTCGACCACAATTCTCCCAAATTAATTTGCGAAGTGCATTATTTTTATTTACATTCTGTGAGGTTACAAGTAGCCGTGGGATTAACTTCTGAAATAGCTAACCGTACCATACTCCAGATTTTTTTCTCAACTACTTTATTGTTCCTTATTTTTTATACTTGCTTCTCTTTCTCTTCCTCCTTTCATACCTGCCTCTTTCTCCCACTCTATCTCTTTCGGTCTCTTTATATTTCCAACTCCAACTCACCAATTGTCCCTTCCTTCCGCCTCTTCAAAGAAATATTGCAATGGTAATATGTCTGGGCAAGCAGTTTGCTGGCAGTGGGTCAAAGGTTACTGCCACCTCAAGCGCACTCTCAACCCTCGAGTCCGCGTGGCTCCCCTTGCGCGGAGTGGTCGGCGGCGCGGCGTCGGAGTGGTAAAGAGGTGCGCCGCGGCGCGCGCCTCCGAGGCGTCCACTCGCCGACACCGCAACGCAGTCACGCCTGCCCCGCCATTCCTCGGACCCTTCTCCACGACACACAACGCCCTACGCGGTAAATTGCATCAACAAAAATAGAAGCGCGTCACCCGCTAATCGAAAATGTATTTATGTTTTGTTACGTGCAGTGCGTAACGTTACGATTGTTATATACGTTCTATCGATTACGTTATGTTCGTTACGTAACTTCGTCACGTTACGTTCGTTTTATTTATTACTTTTAATATTTCACGATGCGTTAGGCTATATTTCGTTATGATTGATGCTACATATGTCATATTGCGTTTTAGATTTCCGTAACCATTTGGGGGCTGGCATACAATGTAATTCCAATACATTAGGTTACATTTTATTAGGACCCATTGTCGATGTCAATGCTTTTTTGCATATTTTATATACGAAAACATTCTGCAAAAACTCATAATACTGGCACATCATGATTTTAGAGTAAGTTGATGGCAGTGAGTTCGCATATTGTATCATTACACATTGTATTGTGAAGCATGTTTCTTCATAAACACTGCAAGAAAAATAGTAAATAAGAATTTCTATTGTAAATTCGGCGTTCCTTGGTGTGTAATAAACTGCATTCTTCCTTTTGTACCGTAATGACAACAAAGCACGTCGGTAAATTCCTCTACATTTTTCTGAAAGGACATATCTATCATTATTTTTTGTTATATAGTAAAATGTCACTTAATGTGGGTGAATTGTCTTTATTTATTGCGTTTACATTCTTTGTGTGTGAATTATGCTACTTTACGTTATTATATTACTCCAAAAATTATCTCCCGTCTACTTTTCAACCATTTTCATTCGCATTTATTTCACTATATTGTAGTTCATAATACCACCCAACTTCAAATACTTTAATGTTTGAATTCATTTCATCTCTGATTGTGAGTGAGATTCGATAAATGAACTTTATATACTTCTCTTGATTTATGAAATGACTGTGGTTTATTTCAGAGCGTCACATCTGTAATTCAACACTCCATGAAAATGAGGTAAGAAATCCCGTCAACCTCTTCAGAGAAAATGGTAAGTAAAGCAAATATAAGTTACATTTCTTTTTACGTAATATTGTCAAAAACCGTAATAGTGTTCAGATAGACTACATTGTACTTCATGTCGTGTGTGACACTGTGCGGACCTTTCTTTACGATGGATTACGAAGGTGAACGAAGTTCGTCGGTACTTTACAGATGCCAGGATTAGAGAAGTGAATGTCACTACTTTAATTTGTTACGCAGCAGCGCACGAAGTCGCGTTACTTAGTTCTCTAAATAAAGAAACGCAAAAATATGGTTCGTAATGTGTGTAGGTAATCGTTAGGAACTCAGAATGTGAACTATTCACTTGTCTTAATGTGACTCAAATTATTTCAAAAGGCAAACCTGAAACCAATCCTCTGCACTTTCTCCCTTAAATGATGTTTCCTATTTCGTAATGCTCAGCTTAAATTGCTTCCAATTTCTCCTAATACGCAATGATTTCTGCAGCGATGTTCCAAAGCAATATTTTTCATCAACTCTTTCGTAAAACTTTTAATATAATGACTAAATATTTATTCTAGAATTTAATTTGTTGCCAAGCTGAAGGTAGCTATATAAACAATACGATATATTAAAGAATGTTTCGCATCATGGGTGTTTGTCACATGTATTAAAACACATGAAGTTTCCCGACGTTTCGAACGAGTAATTCCATCTTCAGAGCTATTAATACTACCTTTTGTCTTGTTCCTACTGCCTACACTTCCAGCTGAATTCTTTGACACAACAATCCAATTACAAACAACCAGTTAGTATTGTAACTTCATGCTTGTAATTTCACGTTTCTGTTAAATTAATAAATAATATGATCGGAAGTGAAGGTAGTACTGACAAGACAGAAGATAGTTTTAATATTCCTGAAGATGTAATTACATACGACATAATAAATAAATATTAAATAATCCATGTATGGAGTATTGAGTGTGAGCTATCTATTGCAAGGATGCTAGTTACCGGAGTCCATTTTATAGAGTATGATGTAAAAACCTTTTTAAAACTATATTTTACAGTGTACTTAGTTACAGAGAAAGCAAAGAAACGTCACTTGTAAATTAAGTTAGTTTTTAAAAAGATAAAAAGTTCATTATTAAAACGTCGTATCATCTGTCTACTTTACGCGAGTTTAATTGCTGGCTCAAACCCACGTCATGGCATGTGGAATTTGTGGCCGCAAAACAAGAGCTATGCCATGTAGTCCCACTATTTCATTAACTTCATCATTCATTCGTTTCATTGACCGTCCTTGGTAATACCTGAGGGAAAAGCTCAGTAAAACGTAACTTAAAACCCGGGCCACTGACGAATTACCGCACTTTAAAACTCCACCAATTTTCTCGAGATCCAATCAGCGATCTTGACAACGTGATGCAAGTAATAACTTAAAGTAAAAAATATTGATTGGCACCAACGCCTCCTCAATCGCCTTTTGTCCATCACGTAGCAGTCAGTGCCTTTTACCTCTTCGGCCAGGAGTTGGAAACCGTCAATAACCGGGGTTCCCAGACGATCACACCTCTCGAAATACCTGGTGTGTCGAGATGTTTAAGTTCCGTGATTTCATGGAGCATAGTTAAGCAATTGATCCAAAGACGCCGGCCTCTCGACAAACGACGTGGCGTAGTCGCGCGAACGCTTCGGTTGCAGTTGAGCTCCGAGCACTTCACACATCAGGCGCCAATCGATGACAACAAATTACCGTTGCACATCCCCAATCACTCTGGCACCGCCACCAACTCACACCGCCTTGGGTGTTTCAGGGCTTCAATTGATGTCACTGATGTGCCTCTGACGTTCTAGAGTTCGCGACCCGACGATGGTAGGATTTTAAACGCTAGCTACATAGCTAAGTGGATGGATACAGCCGTCGCCTGAAGGACTACAGCGCCTGGCTCCTCAGTAAGATAGTTTCCCTGCCTTCCTGTGATCAATAACAGATTACTTCCGGAGCAGAACCCTAACAAACGGGCCACTGACTGCGTGCGATCTTACATTTTCTTCCTTGTCCTATCCTTACACCCTACATACAGTCACACATACACTTACATGCACTACACTACCACACGTACCGTGATACCAGTCGGGAGCTTAGAGCTTGTCCCGGCTGGAGCGGTGACCCGCTGGTGAGAGATACTTGGTTGAGGAAAACCTGCGCAAGTCGACGGGTAGGTCGTCGACGTATCTCGCCATCCAGCGGGGAAAGATCGCCTCCACTTCTCGCGATAAATCATTCGGGTCTTACGGGATAAATGAGATTAGCAAGTGACGCGCCCGGAATCACTAAAGAATTCGTCAATAAATCAAACCCACCAACGCGCTAATTCGTCCACAGACAGTGGAGCGAAGAGAAGGTGGAGAGTAGAAGGAGACGCTTCACCACGAGACACTGGCCACGCCGAAAGCCCGTGTCCCTCAATCCGCTATTCCTCCAACAACATCATTACCATATATTTTAGCATTTCGTTGACCCTGTCTTGTAAAAGCACAGCTACAAATAATCATAATAAATAATGACACTCATGAGGCATTCTGGAAATCTCGCTCATTGAAAATACACCGAATTATATCACAATCGAAACACAGTCGTGCGATGCCACTGAACCAGTTCGAACCACACTGAAGGCGCCGGCAGCAACCAGCTCTAAAACACAAAACGCTCTTTGAGATTATCTGTAGCAACTTATTAGAAAGGGAGCCGCCGATGGAGCGACAATATCATAGGTCGTGCCTCCGCCGCCGCACGCCGCTCCCGGCCCCTCGCATTCCGGCGTCGGCGTCGCCGCACCATAGGCGCTCTGACCTGTGGTCGCCGCCCCGCCCCGCCCAGCCCCGCCCCGTGTTGCTCCGTTCCGCCCCGCCCCGCGCGGGTATCTCGCATCGCCAGCGCTGATGAAGACATCCATAGCGCCCCGACCCCGCAGCCCGTCTGGGCGCGTGGAGCAGAGCTGGGCGGGGCGAGGCAGGGTGTAGAGCACAAGCAGAGAGATGAGATAGTATTTTGGTACTTCCGAGCATGACAACTACTCTGGTCATTAGTTCTTAAAGCTGAACGCATGTTATAGCTGGGAGATTGGTCCCCCCCCTATGGAACGTGTAAATCGGAGCCGACTTTCTCGGGTTCGGTGCGGGGAGGTTGTGTTGCGAGACGAGGCAGGACTTTCGATGCCTTGGAACGCGAGCCTCGGTGCCGAACGAAACATGGAGTGGATGGGCGCAGCGTTCATGGAAGCCAAGAGGTGGATTGGTGCTTAGTGATACAGGGTGGAGAAAAGGGTGAGGGGCGTGAAGTACGAAGGAGTGAACCAACCAAAGGAGCAAAACTTGAAATGTCCCGATTGGCGAACGGACGCGGGACGTAGAGGGGCACGATCGTACATGGAAGCGGAGAATTTACGGCAGGGGCATGCACGAATAAATGGAAGCATGGAATAACGAGAGGCATCGATGGTCGCATGGCGTTGCGGGGGCGTGAATGGGGAACGTGGGTAAACGTAGATTGTGGGAAGGCGTAGATGGACGAGGCGTGGGGGGTGAGAGTTAGACTGGGTCTGGCGTGGGAGG